GCAGCAGATATGGTTCTAGTTCTTGGGGGTCCCTGCCACCCACTTGGGAGGCCCAAATGGAGTTCTGGATTCCTGAGTTCAGCCTGGCACAGCAATGGCTACTGGGGGCATCTTGAGGGTAAACCAGTGGATGAAATATTTGTGTGTGTGTGTGTAAAAACATGAAAAATATGTGGAAAAAACAGTAAAACTTGAGCTCAGATACACTTCATATAATGATTACCACTAAATATTTTTTAACGATATATGTAAAGAGAACATACTTTTCCATATGGCATTTTAATAAAAATATTATAACAAAGCAAATTTCAGTTAAGAATTTAGCAAACAATCAGATTTGTTGAAGACTATTTATATGAAGTCAGATCTTAGACTGCAGTCATTTAGTATTCTGCCATGTGGCCAATATAAGTCTGGGTAAATACAAATGATGTGTAGAAGAATAGTATTCAATAAACATAAATTCAGTACATAGAAACAACACAAGGTTAATAAAAATTCCCTTTTTACTTAGCATCAAAAGGGTATTTTATTAAGTTTTTGCAACAAATTTTTCTATAATGTTTTGGTACACAATGCTCTTGTTAAATTTTTTAACTTATCTGTAGATTATTTTGGATTTTATACATACATACATTTTTTCATTTGTTTGTTCTCACTTTACTGCAGTGGTTAGGAAGAATAGAGTGTTGGATAAAATTCATCATAATGGACAGTCTTACTTTATTTCCTATTTCAAAAGAAACATTTTCAAGTTTTATCACTAATTAAGTTATCTGCTATATGGTCTTTGCTTAGATATGTTTTTCCAAATTAAAACATTTCCTTCTGTTTTTCATTTGCGAAGAGTAAATATGTAATTTGAATTTTATCAGCCCTTTATCACAACACATTTTTAGTCAGCTAATGAAATGCAATTGCTTTTATAATACTGAACCAGGCTTTCAATCCAAGTATGAACCTCAATTGGATTTTGATCCCCTTTCCGTGCAGAGGGCACTCAATTTGCTAATATCAGGACAAGGATTTTTCTATATGTCTGTAAGATTGTCCTATAATTTTATTTAGGTTTTGTGTAATGTCAGCCTCATAAGGAATGTTCCTAATTTTCCTATACTATGGCATATACATTCTTAATACCAGAGTAATTTTTAATGAAATGTGCTATGTCTTCAGTTTCTAATTTAAACATAAATGATTCTAAGAGTTTATGAACATTTTACTTATTTTCATTTTATCTCAAGAAGTGTATAAATAGCATGTTCACCATTTATACTGATTTGTTTCGATGTTATATGCAAGACAATGCATCATATTGTAACTTCTTAAAATTTTGCTCCCACTTTGCTTCTCCCTTTAAAAAATAATTGTAAAGGGAAAAGGATAATATTTCAATAAGACTTTCTCTAACAATGTTATTCATGTTAACACACAAAATTTAATGAAGGAAGGATTTTATTTACCAATGATAGGCATAAGTAAACACAACTATTAAAAATTTAAAATTAAAGAGTCCTGGTGCTGTACCTTGGTGATGTTTACACAACAATGTGAATGTACTTTACACTACTGAATAATATATGTTCTTATAAAAGATTAAGATGATCAACTTTATGCTTTTTTTAAAGATTTATTTTATTTATTTGAAAGACAGAGTTACAGGTAGAGACAGAGAGAGAGGTCTTCCATCCACTGGTTCACTCCCCAGATGGTTGCAACGACCAGAGCTGCACTGATCCAAAGCCAGGAGCCAGGAGCTTCCTCCGGGTCTCCCACGTGGGTGCAGGGGCCCAAGGACTTGGGACACCTTCTACTGCTATCCCAGGCCAGAGCAAAGAGCTGGATGGGAAGAGGACCAGCCAGGACTGGAACTGGTGCCCATATGGGATGCTGGTGCTTCAGGCCAGGGCGTTAACCTGCTGCGCCACAGCGCCAGCCCCTCTACTTTATGTTATGTGTGTTTTACATAGTTAAAATTTTAAATTAGAAATAAAAATATGTAGGAAAAATATTAGACATTTTCTTAATTTTTATTTTACAAGATTAAGGATTTATGTTAATTCTATTTGCAGTTCTGTAGTGATGCACAGTATTTTAATAGAATGAAAAAGTACTAGCTAATATACTGTTTTCATTTTTCTGAGAAGTAGGAAAGAGGGGAGGGAAAAGGGGAAAAAGAAAGAGAGTATGCACACAGGTGCTCCAATCTGTTGATTCACTCCCCAAATGCTTGTGACAGCCAGGGATGGTTTACAGCTGAAGCTAGAAGCTAGGAACTCAATCCACGTCCCCCACATGGGTGGCAATAACCCAACTTCATAAACCATCAACACTGCCTCCCAGGGTCTGCATTAACAGAAAGATAGTATCATGAGACAGAGCCAGGAATCCAATCCAGGCACTCTGTTGTGGGAAACAGTTGTATAACCATTAGGCTAAATGTCCACTCCTAATATTCTGTTTTTAAGAAGCTGTGGCATGGTACTCTTTAGGAGATTCTGTTAAAATATGTGTTTCTGGAATGTATTATACATATTTCAACTGAGTTTCTCCCAAATAGTTTTCTTTTTTAGTATTTGACACCTTAAAAACATTACAATTAGATCCTATGATCAAATTATATTACATGGTGATATGATCTTTAGATAATGGTTTTTGTTAAAACTGGCTTAATATACTTTTATTAATGGTTATGATCATAATTAATATATTAAATTTAAATGTCATTGTGTAGCTATTTCTACTTTGTGTCTTCAATGATCTCTGTTCAGATTTTTAAGCTCTTCAATAATCAAAACAACAAAACATGATGATACAATATATACCATAAGCTGAATTGTATACACTATTACCTTAGAATTGTGCACCACTGTTTTGGGTTATAAAATATTTATTTCAGTGGAGTGGCTTCTAAAGGCATTTTAACTTTATGGTTAATTTCATTTAAGTTGAGAAACTTTAAATTCAATATATATGATTCTTTGAAAATTAAATCCTCTGGGCTGACCCTGTGCCGTAGTGTTAAGCAGCTGCCTGAGACACCATATCCCATATGGGAACTGGTCATATGCATGTTGTTCTAGTTCTGATTCAGCTCCCTCCTAATGTGCCTGGAAAAACAGTGAATGATGGCCAAAGTCCCTGCGCCCCTGCACCCTCATGGAAGACCCAGAAGCTCCTGGCTTTAGCCTGGACCAGCCCTGGCTGTTGATTTGGGGAGTGAGCCAAGTGATGGAAGCTCACTCGCTCGCTCGCTTCCTCTAACTCTACCTTTCAAAGTCTTTCAAAAAATTTAATCTAGAACATTTAATATAAAAGTGTCACTAAGTTTTGGTTTCAGTAAATTATAGGTCTATGATTATTTGCTTATTAGGCCTTAAATTACTTTGTCTTTTGATACAATAAATTGTTAATTATATAACAAAGGCTAATCATGTTGCATTATGTCCTTATATTTACTAATAGTTGGGATATAATCCTGTTAGCACTTAGTTCCTTGATTCAGGATTTATGAGTCTTTATAAAGTAATTAAAGCAACAAAGCACCTCAAGGAGTTTTCAAGGAGAATATTACATTAAGTCCACAATAACATTTAGCCCTTGCTTGGTTATATATCACAGTTTACAATTTAATTTGGATTTCATTTCTTTATAGGAATGCTCGAAGGAATAGAGCCTTCTTGCTTTTATGTAGGTCATTTTTTTCATTTCAAAGTTGTAAATATTTGTATGACTAACTGAAATTTTGCTGGTCATATATAGGTATTAATTTCTATGCCATGGGATATGGGAGTGTTCATAATTTGAAATTGATGTTACATATTTTACATATTTATTTTCAGTCAGTGTTAGAGAGAGAGAGAGAGAGAGATATTGAGAGAGAGAACCTTCTTTCCATCAGCTTGTCCGTTCCCCGAGTGGCCACGTGGCAGTGCTGGGCCAAGCCAAAACCAGGAGCCAAGAACTTTAAATGGGTCTCCCATGTGTGTGGCAGGATCCAGAACACTTGGGCTATCTTCTGCTGCTTTTCCCAGGCCATAGCAGGAAGGTGGATTGGAAGTGGAGCAGCCAGGACTGGAATAGGTGCCCATATGGGATGCTGACACTGCAGGATGTGGCTTTACTTGCTACACCACAACACTGGCCCCCAGATACACATATCCTTTAAGGACCGTTTCTGTAAGTGTTGTATTTCAGAGTAATCATCATGTTTAAATTGAAGAACTGTGATCAGTTTCAAAAAGTGCATGGTTGTGAACTCGGTAGGTTTTCTGGTGGTTTGTTAATTTGCTATTTTAGGAGATTAATTTCCTTATAGATATCAGGATTAATCCATGAATACAAATGGTCTTGAAAAAACTCACAAAAATGTATAATATGGAAAAACTGTAAAAACTTAAAAATTCAAAACACTTTGAACCAAAATAAACCTTCTTTATTTCATTTTCAACAAAGATTTGAAATACTATCACATATGATTATACCCAAAGAAGAACAAATGAGAAAATATCTTCCAAATTAAAAAACAAGTTTATGCACGTGTGTGTATGTGTGTATGTACACATAACATAAACTCCAATTTAATGAGCATGTACATGCAATGGTGTCTTGGATGCTTGCAACCCATGTTGGAATGCCATATTCTAAGTCCTGGCTCTGTTCCTGATTCACACATTCTTGCTAATATGTACCCTGGAGGGCAGCAGATGATAGCTCAAGTAATTGGGTCCTGCCAACCACCTGGGAGATCTAGATTAAGATCATGCCTCTTGGTTTTTGTCTGGCCCAGGATAGCTGTTGTTGAGATTTGGGGAGAGAACCAATGTATGAATGATTCATTCATGTCTCTCTCTCTCTCTCTCTCTCTACCTTTGAAATAAAATGATTTTTAAAGTATATATTTACTTTGCAGTGCTGCATATGTCAATATAGAAAAATATAAATAATACTGATTGAATACTACCTTTCATGTTAATCAGAAATTAAACATGCTTCATAAACAGAAATGAACAGATTTTAATATTTCAGATAGGATTTTTTCACACATTTTTATTGGATTAAAATTACCTACTCTTCTATATATACAAAATTGTCATTTTTCAGATTATACAACCTTAAAGTAAAAGAGAAAAATGTTAACACACAACTCAGATAAACATTAGTGACATCAGTTTTGACAACATTAATCCTTTAAAAGACAATAAACTGGTTTCTATACAGCCAAAACATTTAGACTGGTTAAACTTTAAAAAACATAAAAAGAATCCATATTAATTCATTCATTGCATATACCAAACCACGTTGTGTTTTAACAGTTATTTTAGTTTATTGAATTAGAAAGTTTATTTTTATTTTTTTATTTTTTTTTTTTTGATAGGCAGAGTGGACAGTGAGAGAGAGAGACAGAGAGAGAAAGGTCTTCCTTTGCCGTTGGTTCACCCTCCAATGACCGCCGCTGCAGCCGGCGCACCGCGCTGATCCGATGGCAGGAGCCAGGATCCAGGTGCTTTTCCTGGTCTCCCATGGGGTGCAGGGCCCAAGCACCTGGGCCATCCTCCACTGCACTCCCTGGCCATAGCAGAGAGCTGGCCTGGAAGAGGGGCAACCGGGACAGAATCCGGTGCCCCGACCGGGACTAGAACCCGGTGTGCCGGCGCCGCAAGGTGGAGGATTAGCCTATTGAGCCACGGCGCCGGCTAAGTTTATTAATATATCAATTACTTACACTCAATTGGGAACATAACCATATGAATTGTATTACAAGTCAAACGGTAAAGGCAGTTGTAATGAATACCTGAGGAAGATTTCTGAATATATTCCTCTCTAAGAAATAACAAGAGTATTAGAAATATTTACTAATACATGCATTCTTTTATATCAAAGGAAAGTTCAAAAACACAGGTGCTCAAATCCCTTATATAAAATGGTAATATCTGCATATAATCAATGCAGATCCTCCCATATACTTTTTTTTTTTTTTAAATTTTTTTGACAGGCAGAGTTAGACAGTGAGAGAGAGAGACAGAGAATTATAGACAGTGAGAGAGATACAGAGAGAAAGGTCTTCCTTCCGTTGGTTCACTCCCTCAATGGCCGCCACAGCTGGCGCCGCACAGATCCAAAGCCAGGAGCTGGGTGCTTCCTCCCGGTCTCCCATGCTGGTGCAGAGGCCCAAACACCTGGGCCATCCTCCACTGCCTTCCCGGGCCACAGCAGAGAGCTGGACTGGAAGAGGAGCAACCATGACTAGTACCCGGCGCCCCAAGTGGGACTAGAACCGGGGTGCTGGTGCCGTAGGCGGAGGATTAGCCTGGTGAGCCACGGCGCTGGTCTCCCATTATACTTTCATAATCATTTCTATATTACTCATAGTATCTAATACAATGCAAAGGATTGTCATGTGGCATTGTTTAGAGCATAATGAACAAAAACCCATATATGTTCAGTACACCTTTTTTCTGAATATTTTCAATCTTTACTTTCTTGAATCTGTAGGTAATGAACTCATGAATAGCAAGGCACAACTGTAATAACTTTTTCAAAAAGGAGGAAAGAAAAAGGTATTCTAATAATTATAAACTAGTAAACTACTATCAGACCAGATACCAAATATTTTTCCCTTGAGAATGAATCTTTCCAATTATAGAATTTGTTTTCTCTTGCTTTGAAATCTGACTGCTACTTGGCTGGTTAGATTAATGAGCCAGGGAATCATAACAAAGCCCATGGGTGAAGTATGATGTAGGGGTTTAGCCATGTTGGCAATGGGCACTGATAGAAAGTGGTGGGCATCCACACTGAGGACTGCTGATCCCCTCGTTTTAAAATATAGACTTCCTCTTCACCTCAGAAGCATTTAACAAATTAATTTTATACTCACAGTGGGTTCAAATGGAAAACAAAAGTAATAAGGAAAATTCTTCTGTAGTTGATATTTCTCTCAGAAAACTTTGATGAAATATGGTATAAAAGATTATTGGATATGACATATGTATAATTTGTCCCTAAAATAACAATATAGTGGTTAACTGCATATAAGAAAAAAAACAACAATTTGTATCTGTGAGAATGTTTCTATGAAAGCGTGTCGTTGTATGCTTCATCCCTAAAATAACATATAGTGGTTAACTGGATATAAGAAAAAATTCTGCAGTTTATAATTGAAAGATTGTTTCTATGAAACTGTATGGTTATAATAACAGTACACTGATTTATTCTTGCAATTTTCCCTGGGAAATTATCATATTATTACTATCTGTACTATTATTTTATGGCCTGATCATTCTTTGAGAATTGACAAATTTTTAAGTTATAAATAAGCTTAATGTTAATGTCTATTTTCAAAAATGTATTTCATTTCAACTTATGCTTAAAAGTAATTTTTATGGTCTTATGGCTATTTTGTGATAAAATTCCTTTTAATTTGTTTCTGAATTAATATCTTTATACTCTGAAGACTGATATACATTATTTTTAGTATTACTTGCTTCTCTTAGTAAAGCTATATATTAGAAATGACATTAATTTAATAATATATATTAGATCTTTATTATAGTTATAATTAACTATTATCATTTATTAATTTTTAGTTTATATTGAGTGGGAAAGGGGAGGGTTGCGGGTGGGAGGGACGTTATGGGGGGGAAGCCATTGTAATCCATAAGCTTACTTTGGGAATTTATATTCATTAAATAAAAGTTTAAAAAAAATAATTTTCATCATATAAGTGATCAATTAACACAATAAAACAAATAGTTATTGATCACAAATATTTTAAGCTGAAAGATGCCATAATAGTGTAACATTTAAAACAAGGATATTATATATAAGAATTAAAATACTGTCTTCTTTAGAATTACGTTAAATATAAAGAAATTTTTCATTTCCACATCTCTAAAATCTGAAATGGTAATTATCTTTTCTCAGTTACTTTTGGTAAGAAATAATAAAATATAAAAAAAATCCAACTATAGTAACAACTTTTTTCTTTTTAGTTAACAGGTGATCTATGGTTAACATTACATTTAAAGACATAAATAACAAAATAAAAACAAGTTAAAGATTGGTCAGTTATCCTAAAAATAAATATTTCAGGCACTATAGTTTCGTAATAGTTGTAAAACAACTGTTTTCCCAATAATTGAGATGCAAGGATTACCTTTGAGAGAAGTATTTCCCACAGCTTCTAAAATTTGGAATTCAGCATGGGGAAGCAGCAACATTAACCATGCAAAACACTTAGCATGCTATAGGTAACCATAAATCTGCAATGATGATATGGATTGTGCTACAGAAACCACTCCTTCTTGAAGACTTAAAGTTTATGATTAAACAACAACAACAAAAAATCAGAGAGGCAGAGGCAGAGACAAAGAGGTCTCCGCCTGCTGGTTCACTTCCCAAATGGCCGCAATGGCCAAGCTGAGCCGCTCCAAAGCCAGGAGCCAGGAGCTTATTCCAGGTCTTCCATGTGGGTGCAGGGGCCCAGGCACTTGGGCCATCCTCTACTGCTTTCCCAGGCCACAGCAGAGAGCTGGAATGGAAGTGGAGCAGCTGGGACTTGAACCAGCACCCATTTGGGATGCCAGCACTGCAGGTGGTGGCTCCACCTGCTACACCACAGCGCCGGCCCCCTGAAAGTCTATTTTTTAACGCAGTTTCAGATTCACAGTAAAACTGAGAGGAAGTTACAGTGATTTTATTAGTCTTAAGAATTTCAACATTAATGTGTATTTATTCAGAGTCTAAATACCAATATCACAAAGTTGCTTGGGTCACTGATAAAAAAAAATGAAACATAAATGCAACCTTTTAGGTTTGTTTTCTTTGATAGAATACACACATAGTCCTATTTTTCTGGTCCCAGTAGGTAAGTGTGGTTTAACTGTGTGCTAACTGCTTTACGGAACAAAGGCATTTACCTACCATGAAATGACAATCAAACAGTCATCAAACCAGAATTTCAATTTCAGTTAGAAACACAGCAAATTACACCATACGAATGTTATCTGCACAATTTTTATTGTAGATATTTTCTCAGTGCAATATTGTAAAAGGTAGCAATGATCAACATTATCTTTTAAAATGATATTTATATTAAAGAGTAACAGAAACAGTGCATTTAGGTTTTGAAAGGTTTTCCCTATAATTCAAAACAAAGGGTCTTTACTGAAATTAGGGGATTTTGATAATTATTAAACTTTAACCAATACATTAAGAGGCAGGCAACTTTTTATGAGCATAAGTTGCTCTTTCCTTACTGTATTTTTCAGACCACTTACGAGTTAATTCTAGATAAAGACCTGGTTTGTGGGGCCGGTAATCTAGGTATACTGTATTGCTGGTTCTTTTGGGAATGGCTTTTTCAATTTGAGTCCCTTCATGCCACTCATTAAAAGAAGTAATAGAAATTAAACTGGGTTGGGCCTGAAGTGCAGCACTCAGAGAAACTTCGTAATACTTCCCATTGATTCGGTTCCGCGTGTTTTGAGAGTTCCATGGACGGATGCTAGTGTCTATGTATCCTGGACCCACGCTTGGGATAAATATTAAGTTGTATCTATCACAGAAGATTTTTAGACTAGCCCAGTTCTGATGTGATGAGCCATAAGTAAAGCCATTTGTGGCAAAGTAGGTATAAATTCCATCAAAACCACTTTGCAGAACATCATACTTATGTTTTTCTTCTACTAGAAGTGCAATAAATAATCCATCATAAGCAGAATTGCGAACAGTGTGAGATCCGGAAGGGGTTAACAGATTGACCCATTTTTCTGGCTTTGTGATATAGGAATCATAGATGTAAAACATAGGAAGAGCATTCCCAGTCCTTGTCTTGTATCTGTAAAAGGCTGAATGATTTCCATATCTAAAATACAAACATTTTTAAAAGTATAATGAATATTCACAACTTATTTGTCATAGACAAATCTATTTATGTACTGGAAACAGAGGGAATCATTGAGGCTTAGCATATTGCTCAACTTTTGGGGGGAACCATTAAAATATATTTTTGATTTCATATGTTAGAAAATGAGATACTGGATATATTACCAAGTAAGAGATTAATTATCTCATATTGAAGTTTACAAATGATGACACAAGTGATAAAAAAAAATCCCTTGTTTTCTACAAGAATACATGAAGTGCTTTTTTGCATTGGTAACAAATGTCCCACTGTAGCTGACAGGTTTCTTTGTGAGAGCCTGGCGTCTGTTAGAGACTATCATCAGTAAAATTGTTTAACAAAATGAAAATATATTAGTAGCTTATTTGTAATCAGACTTGCAAATTAACCTAGATATAAGACCACTGCTATAAAGCAGCTCACATTTAATAATCTGAACCTTCTTTTAAAAAGACAAAACTCCATGAGATTTTTAAAATATTGATTTAAAACATCAATATGACAGAATTTAGGAATGACCTTATAAACATGTAAAGTAAGAAAACTAGCAATCTTTACTCATACTGAAAGTGAATTGTAAAGAACTTTAGAAATATTGCTCAAAACAACTGTGACATTCATTAGGATAACAGCTTAAATTAATTTTATTAAAAATATCAGACCATAAATCATTCAAGCCTATGAAATATAATTTAAGTGTACCCTCCTTATAATTAAAGTTATTACTAGACCACATATCATGAATTATAAATATTAAAGAAACTCACTTGTCTATTATATACTTGATATTTTTGTACATGTTTTGATCATTTCGATTGCTATATGGTTCTATATGAAAAGCAACCTAAAACAAAGAAAAAATTCAATGAGAGTAAAAATTAGCTATGACATAACCATACATTCTGCATGCTTAATAAAGTGATTTAAAAAACTATTTATTGAACATAAAATTTGCCAGAGAATTTTTAGTAGTAACATTTACTAAGAATTTCTTCAACTAAATAATATGCAAAACATTTTATATTTATTGCTTCAGTTAATAACTGCATAGTGTAGTTGTTATCATCACCTCTACTTTCCAAATGAGGTGATCACAGTTAAAGTAAGTTCAGTAGCTTACCCAGGCTCATCCAGCAGTTAGGAAGCAATACATCCTATGTAAATTCAGAATTCCAGTGACCACCACTGGAGAATGTTTCTACCTACACTTATTCGTTATAGAGAATCTTACAAACTTACATGCTCTATGAACTATTTGGGGATAAACTCTGTATTCAGAAATATCTTTATTTACAAGAAGTTAAAAAAAAATGGTCCAGAAGAATCTGGACCATTTTTTTCAGGTGGGTGACCACTAAGTTTATACTTAAATGAAATCAACAGCAAATTTCTTTGAAAAAATATTTTACATCATTTAAATAGTAGTTTACAAATTGACCTACACTGATTTTCAACTATTATTCCAATAATTTTCAAAACTAACTGAAAAAGTACTATTTACTAGTTGACAGCAAAATAATTTTCATAATGCTTACTTGGTTGATATGGTTTATACATATGTCTCTACTACAATGGCAGAAAGCACTAACTTCTAAGTAAATACTATGTACACACTTCATGTTTTTATTCACAAAAGGTTAGCTATACATACATCAAAAAAACTAATCAAAGTAAAACCATTTTGTATGCTACTCCTAACTGCTAATGTAGATAGTAAAGCTGGTATTTCCTTTAAATGACTATCTATGCAAGATTGGTAAAGCAAAGAACATGAATATTTTTACTTTTATTCTTATTTTTAGTGAACTACCAACAGCAATTAGAAATCTTTATTGTAATGTAATTAAGTCAATGATACTGTCTTAATTTTACGTTTTGGGCTGAAGGAAGCATTTATGGAACTAGACACTTCTATACTACTGCAATATAAAACTTCATTTCCAAGTACCCAATTAAAACAAAATCTATTTTACATTAACCAGTGTTACTAATTTTCACAGAACTAATTTTAAAGTCAGTATTTAATGAAAATATTCTAAGCTTTTAATAAAATTATATTACACTAATTTTACATAAATGAAGTTTTTGCCAGTAACAAACTAACATCAATTAATGTTTGCATTATTTTGTTAATAGTGCATGGACTGTAACTGCTACGACAGTTAGATTTCTCAGTATCTTTTGTATTTACTTTATAAAATGCTTTTTACATTTTATCTGAAAGAGAGAGAAAAACACACCAGAAAGAGAGGGAATCTTCCATTTGCTTGTGTACTCCTCAGATGTTCACAACAGCCACAGCTGGGCCAGGTGGAAGACAGGAGCCTGGAACTCCACCAGGATCTCTTTACAGATCTATTTTCAGTTTACTTTATAATCATACAATTAACCCTATACTAAGTAAATGGTTCAAAAAATATGAAGAAAAAAAACTGTTCTTCAACAGTAGAGACAAGAGCTGTAAACAATCATGGAATTGCAACATGTCAATTTCAGTCCAATACATTATATTTTAGATTCTCTATTAATTACTACTGATCAGGGAAAATATATGGTGTCTATCTTTTTGAGTCTGGCTTAAGCCAGACTAAGTATAATGCTTTTCAGTAGCATCCATTTTGTTGCAAAAGATGATAATTCATTTTTTTTATCACTGAGAAGTATTCCATAATTTATATATACCACATTTTCCTTATCCCATCATCAGTTGATGGGCATCTGGGTTGATTCCACATCTTAGCTATTGTGAATTGTGCTGGAATGAACATGAGGAAGGCATAACTCTTTCATCTGCTGACTGCACTTCTCTTTGGTAAATTTCCAGGAGGGGCTTGGCTAGGTAGATCGATTTTCAGATTTCTGAGGTATCTCCATACTGTCTTCCAGAATGGCTGCACTAGTTTACATTCCTATCAACAGTGGAGTAGAGTACCTTTTATCCCACATCCTCACCAGCATTTGTTGTTTGTTGATTTCTGTATGAAAGCCATTCTCATTGGGATGAGGTAAAACCTCACTGTGATTTTGATTTGCATTTCCCTGATTGCTAGTGATCCTGAGCATTTTTTCATGCGTCTGTTGGCCATTTGAATTACCTCTTTTGAAAAATACCTGTTCAAGTCCTTTGTTAATTACTTTTATTTTTCTTCCACATTTTTAAAATTTTCTTTAAGGACTACAATTTCATACATTTAATATACACAAATATGGGAACATGGTGATCTTTCCCCCCTTACCTCCCTCCCACTCATAATCCCACCTATTCTACTTCTTCCTCTTCCTTTTCCATTATTATTTAGTGGATTCTTTGTTATATTGTTGTTGAGTTTCTTGAGCTCTTTATAGATCCTGGATATTAATCCTGTAACAGTTGCATAGTTTGCAAATAGTTTCTCCCATTCTATCTGCTGCCTCTTCAATTTGCTATGTGTTTCTTCTGCAGTGCAGAAACTTCTCAGCTTGATGTAACCCCATTTGTAAATTTTGGCTTTGATTGCCTGTGTTTCTGGGGTCTTTTCCAAGAAGTCTTTGCCTATATCAATGTCTTGCAGGGTTCCCTTAATCTTCTCTAGTTATTTGATTAGATTTAAATCCTTGATTCATTTTGAGTAGATTTTTGTTTAAGGTGTAAGGTGTAAGGTAGGAGTCTTAGATCATACTTCTGCATGGAGAGATCTAGTTTTCCTAGCACCATTTGTTGAACAGATTGTCCTTGCTCCGGGAATTGATCTTTTGTCAAAGATTAGCTGGTTGTAGGTGCATGGATTGATTTCTGGAGTTTCTATTCTGTTCCATTGATCTACATATCTATTTTCTGTGCCAGTACCAGGCTGTTTTGATTATATCTGCCCTCCAGAATATGTTGAAATCTGGTATTGTGATGCCTCTGGCTTTGGTTTTGTTGTACAAGATTGCTTTAGCTATTTGAAGTCTCTTGTGTTTCCATATGAATTTCAGCATCAATTTTTCTATATCTGAGAAGAATGTCTTTGGTATTTTGATTGGTATTGCATTGAATCTGTAGGTCCCCCACCTCCCATTCTCTCTCCTCTCTCTTTAACTCTGCCTTTTAAAAAAAATAAATTTTACAAAAATAATATGTGAAATGTTTTTCTTCATTCAGTTATAGTTTACAGCCATTGTCTACATTCCTACTAAATATAGGGTCTTTTTGCTTTTTAATCTTTTTATCTGGTGAAGTATTAAGCCTTTTTACTATAATATAGTTTTAAAATGTTATTTAATATAATTTATAAAATTAATTTTAAATATGAATTTTTATAAATATAAAATAAAATGTTATGTACTGTAATGTAAATTTTAAAATGTTATCTCAAAAACTAAGAAAAAAAGAAAGGCAGAAGAAGGAGGGTGGGAAAGACAGAGGGAGGGAGGGAGGGAGGGATGAAGGGAATATTATGTTCTTAGACTTGTATCTACATATCATATTGAACGTTAAAAATTAAAATTAAAAAATGAAAAAAATTTTTCCAAAACAACACCATAATGGAAATCACAGAAAAAATCCAAGAGCAAAACCCATTTATGATTTTGCCTTGTAATCTTACAGATGAGGGGGGATAAGTCAAAGAATCAAGGAACTAATATCAGCCCAGAGTTATTCAGCTGGACAACCTCCAATTTCAGTTTACTGGATCCTGTCTTTCTCACATTCTACAAAGTTACTCCTAAGACATGAGGCCAAGAAGCTGTTCTAAAAATTTTAGAAAACATTAACATACCATATTCTAAATTTTTCTGATCATTAGATATAAAACCTAGAGCAAAGAGAGATCAAATATGTTGGCAACATCTACATGATTAGTGACTGAGCTCTTTTTGGCAGGAGAAAAAACTGAGCCAAGCCCATGCCTCAGAACATTTTCACTTTGCCTTTAAAAGCTTCCTTAAACTACTACAAAAGCCATGTTCTTGAGCTCTCATCTCCTAGGATTACAGCAGTGACAAATGTGTGGCCCTTGGATCTGTTTTGTGGAAGGTAAATCAATCATTATCTAGTCATGGAACTGGTGCCAGACCTGGGGATTTGCTTCTACAGACCTGCAATGTCACTGAGAACTCACTGAATGGCCCTGAGGAGCAGACTAGGTGACAGTTCCTGACATCTCGCGAATCTAAAAGGTGTAAGATGCTGTCTTAATACTTTCAGGACTGTAACCTAGGAAAGGACGCAGCTTTATGGAAAGAATCTTAAAAGTTAGCATTTTTTAGCTATCTTCCCTAGAGTCTCATTTCTATTCCTCAATATTCACTGAATTTTTAAGCAGATGGAAGAGTCAAGTTAAATAACTATTATTCTTTTTGTTTGTTTGTTTGAAACAAAATATTTCAACAGTGATCCACTTCATCTTGTACAGAGCTCAGTTACCAGTATTGAGCGGATGGTCCTGCTTAGGATAGATAAACTGTATGAAGTTACAGAGCAAATAAAAAGCTTCAGCAATTTTTTATAGTGGTGGCATACAAGACACTCTGTCAAAAAAAAAAAAAAAATGACTTAAATGAAAGATCTCCGTGAGTGAGATCCCAGTAGAAAGAACAGGTCATCAAAGAAGGAGGTACCTTTCTCTGAAGGGAGGAAAGAACTTCCACTTTGACTATGACCTTGTCTAAATATGATCAGAGTTGGTGAATTCAAAAGGCTTCCATAGCCTTGGCAACTCATGACTAGAGCCTAGGGTGATTACTGATGCCATAAACAAGAGTGTCAATTTGTTAAGTCAACAACAGGAGTCACTGTGCACTTACTCCTCATGTAGGATCTCTGTTCTTAATGTGCTGTACATTGTGATTTAATACTATGACTAGTACTCAAACAGTATT